ATGCAATTGTAAATGGAATTGTTTTCTTAATTTCTCTTTCTGATAGTTCATTATTGGTGTGTAAAAACGCAACTGATTTCTGAATATTAATTTTGTATTCTGCTACTCTACTGAATTTACTTATCAGTTCTAATAGTTTTTTTGGTGGAATCTTTGGGGTTCAATCTATATAGTATCATGTTCTCTGTAAATAATGACAGTTTTACTTTTCCTTTCCCACTTGGATGCTTTTTATTTCTTTTTTCTTGTCTGATTTCTAGCTGACATTTTGACTGCAACCTCAATAGAGATTCTGAACTAAAACCTCCCAGCTAAGCTACTACTGAATTTTTGATGCATTAAAACTGTGAGTTAATAAATATTTATTGTTGATTTTAGCCACTAAGTTTTGGGATAAATTGTTACATGATAATAGATAACTAGTACACATGGGTGTGTGATTACTGCTGGGAAACTAAGTCCCTGTTCCATTAAACACAACACCAAAGACACAATATGTGTTAATAGTAAAACTTGCAGACACGAGAATTTATACCTTACAGTATTTATACCTTACAGTATTGGCATGTTTTGCTAGTGACACAAAACTGATACTTTTTCTAATAAAAAAATGATACCATTTCCAGATTAGAAGAAAGAATCTTCCCTTTATTTTTAGATCTATGCAAAAGGTTGGATGAACAAGAAAGAAATTAAATTGTGGACAGTTAAAGTATGGTCCAGCTGTCCTAGTTGGGTGGACTACTAAGGAAACTTGCCATATTAGTATGGAATGAGTTTTGGTTGATCAGATTAGACAACAAAAAGCTTGCCTATAATTCCAGGAGACTGAACTAGCCAATTGCAACCTTGAGACTTCGCTATCAAGAAGTCATTTAAAGGATATGTGAAGGAAGAGAGAAACAGGTGTATGCAGGCTTCAGATTTTTTGAATTGATACCAAAAGAAGGAAGAGGCTTACAATTTCATAACTGTGTGAATGGGTCAAAACTTCATGGAATGCTGTAAAACAAGAGCCAATTACGCAATGGTTTAAATAATGTGGAATTAATGCTCTTGACAATTTGAGTACAATTTCTTGTTTGATGATGGTTTGACTGAGTTTCTAATGCAGTGAAGGTTGAAGATTCAGAGGGTCATCTAGAATCCAGCAGTAGCAATAGTTTTCATGCTTTGAAAATATTTCTTTAAGTTTTGAGGGTGAAAATGAAAATCTTTATGACACAGAAACAGTGTTTGTTTCTTTTTTTCCCCCTACAAACAGATGCAAAGTCACCTTAATAAGCTATTGTTATGAAACATGTGAGGAGTCAAATCATTTCACTTTTTTTCCTCTTCATGAACAAATTTATTTTTATTTTTATTTTTTAATTTTATTTATTTATTTTTAAAATTAGTTTCATGCAATAGTTATACTTTTTATACCTCAAAGTGACAACCCCCCCCATATCATACACATCTCTTACAATTCCATTGACTCCACTCCCACACTATACTCCATGTCCTGTGACTATATATATATATATATATATATATATATATATATATTCAATTATAGTTGACATACAATATTATAAAACATCAGCTTCAGGTGTACAGTGCAGTGATCAAGCCTCTACTCCATCCATGAAGAGGTCTCCCTAACAAGACATGTGACTATCTGTCACCCTACAAAATATTTACCACATTATTAATTATATTCCCTGAACTGTCTTTCATATTCCTTTGGCAATATTGTAGTTACTTATTTATGCTGTCTAATCCTTTCCCTTTCTCCCTCATCCCCACCCCCCTCCCAACTAGCAACCATCAGTTTTTCTTCTATGTCTCTGAGACTATTTCTGTTTAATTTTGTTTAATTTCAGTTTTTTAGATTCCACATATAAGTGAGATAATATGGTATTTGTCTTTCTCTGACTGACTTATTTCACTTAACATAATAGTCTCTAGGTCCATCCATATTGTTGCAAATGGTACAATTTCATTCTTCTTTATAGCGGAGTAATACTCCATTGTATAAATGTACCACAGTTTCTTAATCTAGTCGTCTATCAATGGGCAATTCGATTGTTTCCAAGTCTTGGCTATTGTAAGTAGTGCTGCAATAAACATAAGGGTGCATATATTTTTTTGAATTAGCATCTTGGGTTTCTCTGGATAGATAGCCCAAGGGTGGAATTGCTGGGTCATATGGTAATTCCATTTCCAGTTCTTTGAGATATCTGTGTTCGTTTCTTGTTATGCAGCTACTATCCACTAAAACACTAGCTTCTATCACATATATTCAATTTTTCATGTTATTCAATGTGTATTAATATTTAGTAAAATATTTGCCTTTATTCTATTCTATGAGCATGATGTTGGAATTTCTTCAAATTTATTATTTTGCTGTATGTTTTATTCCAGTTTTTACTGAAATGTTTGTCTACATGTATTGAACCTTCTTATAAGGGAATTTATTTAAATTTATCACTTGCTTTATACCATTTTTAACATTCATATATGTATATATATGAATTCTCTCAAACTTATTTGATACTGTGGCTTGCTTTTTAGTTGCTATTACCAAGATGCTAGTGCCAGTATTTGATTTCATGGTACTTAATGCATAGAATGGGGTCTCATTTACTCATTTGTGTGTGTGTGTTGTTGTCTGCTGTATTTTCACTTTATATTTCTTTTAGCTATGTGGCTTAGTACCTTTATTCATGGTTAGCAGTATATAATTAAATAAACAGAACCTGTGATTTCCTTGAACCCAATATATAGTACATAGTATTAACATGAGCATGTAATGACCACACTTCCTTCTACAAAACCACTGTAAAATCATTTAAATACTTTCACAAACACAAATAAATACATGTATAATGAAATTACTTTTTACCCAATAAATTCTAGCAAAATTGGGTGCTCTTATTCCCATTCAAATCTTGTATGTCAGCAAATAATCTAGTATGATTTAGGCACTTGGGAAACAGGAAAATATGATACTGATCCCAATTTGAAATATCTAAAAACCCTAGAAGAAACAGACCAACTAACCAATACTTACACTGCTATGTGATATGTGTGTTTCAAGAGGAGGAAGCCTCAAGGTGTTGGGGGATAGACAAGAAAGGATTTACTGAATAGGTGACTTAAACTAAATTGTGGTTTGTCAGGTCAAGAAGGGGAGGAAAGGCATTCCAAACATTGCAAAGTGCGTGAACCAAAACAAGGAAGCATAAAAGAACACAGCACACTCTGGAAACAGCAAATAGCTCAGTGGGGCTGGAACACAGTAGTTGTGAGGGAAGATTAGGCAGAAACCAGAATGAACTGGTTTGTGAGCAAAGCTAAGGAGTTTAGACTTTAACCTGTAGGGAGTGGAGATTTAAGCAGAGGAATTTCTCCTTTATAAGATTTCTTTGGCTGCAGTGTAGTGGATGGTCTGGAGAGCAGAGAAGGAAGGCAGTCAAACTAGTTAGGAGGTCACTATGATAATTAAATGAGAAATGATGCGGTCTGAAATGAAGGTAAAAGGCAGTGGGGATGATGAGGAACACAAATTGGGGACTTCAAAAGAAACCCCTAGATGTGGGCAAAAAAGAGAGAAAGGAGCCAAAAGTGGCTTTGTGGTTTCTAGTCTGGGTGACTGGGAGGACAGTTATGCCACTAAATGAAAAGGAAAATACTTTAGGTCATTGGGATTATCTTTGACTCCTTCTCCTTTCTACTGAACAGATCACCAATTTTTGCCAGGCCTTTGCCTCCCATCTTCTCCACTAGTCTAAATTATCCTTCACAAAGTCATCTAGCTAAAGCAGTTTTGATTGTATAAACATTTGATGGACACCCCCTCTCCACACACACACACCATGCAGAATGAAATCTAAGCTTTCAGTGGAATATTTAAGACTCTCCACCTTCAGGCAGGCCACAAACTACCTCTTGGATGCCTTTTATCTCCTTAACTATCATTTCCTTTCCCCACCATACATATTGACCTCAAATATCAACCTGATCTTTGTTCCTCTAACACATCCTCCAACCTAGCTCAAGCTATTTTCTCTATTTGAATGCATTTTGTTGTTTATCTCAGCCTGCCAACCTTCACGGATTGTTTATGTCAGCGTCTCCATAACACTTTACCCCATCCCCTTAGTCAGAAGTATTCTTTCTTTTCTGTGGTGCATACACTTTTGTGTCTTAGTCATGAACACTTGGCGTCTGCCTGGTTTTATAGATTGTTGTGTCTTGGTATCCCTTCTACTTCCTTGCCCCAGTGGCTTAATACAGTACAGGCTCAAAAATTTGTGATGAATTGACCTGGAACAGGGATCTGATCCCTGTATCAACCACTCGAAGTTTAGCAGACAGTCTGGAAAAATCAGGAGATTCTGTGAATCCCTGATATTACACATGAAAAAAAAAAAAAAAGAAGAGTAGAGGAGATACCCGTCTCTACGGGGCCCTCTCGCTGTCTAGAACGACTGTGACAAAAGATGGGAGCAAAATAATTTGCTGTCAGGGGTGTACAGCTTCAGGTTTCAAGATGCCTTTATTGTTTATGTAAAATAAAATATCTTATGTACTGTACTTTTAAAAAAGCCCTAAAGGGTTTAAGATTTCCCTAGGTGGAATTTCCCGCTGACGGGTGTTCTCCTGAGGTCAATTGCGCTGACCATTACGCAGTGTACTTGGAAATGGATTAAACACTCAGCAAAAACAGACTCGTGGTGTTTCCCCAGAGTTGGACAGCTGAGTGGCCCGGAGGCACGCCCTTGTCCCGCTTCCGCCCCCGCCCCCAGCGGCCGCAGCTGGGAGGCTCCGAGGGAACTCCCGCACGTCTGCGCGCGCAGTCCCGGGCCGAGGGTCCGCACGACGCGCGCAATTGCCCTGGAAACCACTGCGCGCGCACGCGCAAACGTGGGGCGGGGAGAAGGACTGAGCTAAGAGCTTAGCGGCGGGAGGAGGGGTTTACCCTCCCACTCGACCATCGCGCCCCGCCGGGTGGGCGTGCGCGCCGCCCATCTCCCTCGGGCGCAGCGTCCCTTCTAGCACGCGCCCGGCTCGCGCGTTCGCCCCAGCGCTCCCCCGCCGCACACGCACCCTTTGCCCTCCTCCCGCATTTGTGCGCCGGTGCAGCCGGCAGTGGGAGCATCCGGGCATTTCCGCAGCTGAGCGGCGATCCGGGCGGCGGCGGCTGAGGAGCTCCCATGGCTGGGACTAGGCGGGTGGAAGGCGAAAGAGGGGCCAGGCGATAAGTCAGAGGCGCCGCGCGTCCCAAGGGAGGCGGAGAGGGGAGCGCTCTTGCGGCCGGAGGAGGGCCGGGCGCGAGGCTCCTGGAGCCTGTCTTGCATTCTCTTGTCCAGCCCGGGCTTCGGACATGCATCTGCATCAGGTCCTCACCGGTGCTGTCAACCCTGGAGACAACTGCTACTCCGTGGGCAGCGTCGGGGATGTCCCCTTCACGGTGAGCGGCGTCCGGGAGCCCGAGGGGCAGGGACCGGGGTCCGGACGCGGGGGCCAAGAGCCGTTGTCTTGGGCCCACGCCTCCCCGGGGGGCTGCGAGGTGTCGGTGGACCCCTCTCGTTCTCCCTCTGCAGCCAGTTAAGGGCGGAGGGGGCGTGGGACTGCGAGTCCTGTGGCTGGTGTAGGAAATTACCCGTCAGGGGAAAGGATTAGAAATTCGCCGCACTCTCCGCCCTCAGCAGACGGGCCCCTGGGGTGACTAGACTAGAAGGTTCCTCTCCTTGGGCGGCCCCGGGTCTGCGGTGGAAGATGGTTGCAACCTCTGAAATCCCAGAGCGGCCGTTTCACACCTGCTCTTGGCGTGGAGGCAGAGACTTGGTCATGACTCGGAGCATGGAGGCGATACCGATGCGCTGGGCTCCCCCTGCTTACAGTGTCTAGGGCAGCGAGGAGACGCTGGAGCCTGCGGCTTTAAACCCGAGCCAGCCCTCTATCTTCTGATGTGCAGAATCTTAATTCCCATTAGAAAGTAGAAAAATTCGTTCTCTGACCCTGAAAAATTTAGAATGGAAGGGTTCGCGTGACAGTGGCCTGGAGAGCTCTTATTTATCCCGAGATCACAAGTATGGTAACCTTTTTTAGGTAATATTTTAATCCGTTTGCAAGGTAGGCTGGGTTTTTAAGCTAGGGCAATGTGAAAATTTTATGATTGTTTTTCTTGTTTGTGCGAGTAAAGTATGTAAACAATAACATGTTAGAACCTCCTTAAAATCTAGATGAAATAGACATGTTTCTCAACGAGCGTGGGTGGATCAGTCCTTTTTGAGAATGGGATGTTTGTATAGCTAATTCAAACCAAAGCCCTAGAGCTTCTTTTACCCATAGAGACACTGCCATGGATTAACATGAGTTCCTTTTTTTTTGCATGAAATTTACACATGGTCCTCATTAGAAGGATCTGTAGGCAATGAGACCTCAATTAACTACACATTGTATTGATAACCATTTTGCTTGATAAAATTGTAAGTAGCATAATGGTATGCTTTTTGGATAGGGAAACACTGATCTAATGTCTGCTTTCCAACAGCATGTTTTTAAAGCTGCAGAAATAAGAAAAGCTCCAGCAAAACTGCAGAATCACGAAGCACAATGCATTCTGGAACAGAATTTGTCATTGTGATACATTAAAAATAATTCTGTAAGATTGCTTTTTGGCCATTTAAAATTTTAAATGTAATTAGCTTGGCTTTGTTCCAGTTTAAAATGAACCCTTTAAAAATATAACTTGACCGATTTGTATTGTTACACCTTTTTCTATCAATATAGTGTCATTTGTGTTTTGTGTACATGTGACCTAAAATATCTATATAGTATTGAGCTTGGACTTCAAGTGTGTAGAGGATATTTGGGGCATAGAGAGAAGAAATTTCCCTCTCCCCTAATTGTGTGGGTGGGGAAGAAGTTCCTTAGGGTTATAAGAACAGGCTTCCTCCATGAAGAAACAAATCTGGAACCTTGGGTTATGGGGGGTATTTCCACACTATTGTGGTGGTAGTTTTTTATCTTCATCTAAGGTGGAACGGTGTCTCACTGCAGGGCTGATATATAGCGCTAAACAGATTCAGATGCAGTCTGGAAAAGCCAGTGCGAGAACTGTGAGTGCTGCGCAGGTGTGGTTATGCTGTAGGCCACCCATGACCAGGTCCTTGGAAATCATTTTCGTATCTTTTTCTACCTCCCTAATGCAACCTGTCACCAAGTCTAGCTGACTATCTGCAGTGTCTATCAGATTTACCCCTTTTCATGTCCTCACTTACCACCTTATTATAGAACCTTATTTGTATTTAATACGACAGCTTCCAAACTGGTTTTCCTGACACTAATCTGATAACTTCAGCTCATCCTTCACACAGCTGCTGGGGTCATTTTCTTCCAATACTGTTTCACCAAATTATAGACTCAAGAATATGTAGTTGTTCCTAACAGCTGGGTTAGGAAATTTAAACTTGTCATATATTCTTCTGCCATCTTTGACTTTATATTTGATTATATATACTTCTCATCTTGGCCCTTCTGCTATAGACATAACTAATCTTACTCTAGCCTACGTTTTTATGTGGCAACTAGAGAATCCTTTTAAGTTTCCCAAATAGCCCTCAGAATTTACCTGGTTTAGGATGCCTACCTATGACACTGATTATTTGGCCCTTTGGCATTACAAACCCATGCTGCACGCTGTCTCATTTAATATCTTAGTTTTGAATGCACTGATCCAGTTATAATTTTTCCTTGAACTAGAAATGACCTTTTGGACTCTTAGGAAGAACAAATTTGCTTTAAAAGAAATGAGAACAAGCTGTTTTCAAGTACTGTAGAGTTAGCTAACAATTATTTGAATGCCTATATTAGTATAGTAAAATAAAATGTTTTGAAAAGTAAAGCCCCTTTATATAGAACATGCTGTTTAGTTTGTATAGCAATCAGATGAAAAAACTTGAGTTCTGGGTCAGATGATTAAAAAAGGGGACCAGCCAGGACTGGACTGGGGAGGTCTTGTGACTTCTCATCTGGTGGGGTTTTTTTTTTTTTGTAGTGTTTATTTCCTATCAGAGTTCTTGCTCTGAAGGGTGTGTATGTGTGTGGAAGGCCTAGACATAGCCAGTGTAGAAAGAAAGACTGTCTTGCAGCTAGCTAGCCAGTGGTTCTGAGCCAATAATAACCTGAAGACCTTTTCAAAATAGGGCAGATCATTTATTTAGTGATCTATAAACAAAGTTTTTGAAAAGGAATTGTTCCAAAGGACTTTGAAGTGTTCTTGACATTGCAGTTGAAAAACAGCGTGTTACATATATAGCGCTGTGCCTGGTGGGTGGTGTGATTTGCTGGACTGTGAATGACTGCTTGGTTATGTCAGTGTGGTCCAATTGGTGCTATGTTGACATGGTGGTGCGGTTTGTAATGGACTGTCTTAGTGATGTATGTCCTTTTAGTGCTAACATCTTTGACGGTTTTCACTTGTGTTTTGGCAGTTAGCAGTTTTTTAAAACAAGTGGTTTTATAAATATAGTTGTATGTATCACCTTTTGATCGTTCTTTTCATTGTAAGATCTAAGTTCTGGAAATACTATTATCCTGTAAAAGTCAGGTCCCAGATAGTCCCAAGGAGATGATATTCTACCATGTATGAGCTTTGTTGTATTTTATTTTGCCTTCGAGACATTTCCAACTACATTGTTATAGATAAGTGAATGTTTTAAGGCTTAATGCAACAGATAGTGTAAATTTTTCCTTATTGATGTTGTTTATAACTTTCCTGAAAAATAGTCCTTAGTTATTTTTTCTTTTTTTGTAAGCATTAAAATATTAGTTAAAATTATAGTAGATGATTTTAATATAATTTAAAATTTTCCACCATTTGGCATTAAGGGGTGCAGACTTTATTTTCAGGCAGATGGGGCAGCTGATGTCATTCCAGTCTGATGTGAATTCAACACATTGGTCAAAGTTTACAAAAATTAGTAAGTCATTTCTACTCTCAGGGAGCTTATAACATACTGGCAGAGATTAAAAAAGATATACATAATTATAATGTAACGCAGATAAAAGAGATCACATGTAGTTGGGAAGATAAAAGATTTCACAGAAGATTGACATTTGAAAAGACAGAGTGGTATTAGGCCTTTCTGGATGGCAAGAACAAAAGCCAAGGAATGGTGTGATATAAAGGATAAATTATTGGGTATAAGGGGTATAATGGTGTAATAGAAGGATAAATTACTTCACAAAAGTGGTTTTTTAAAAACACAGAATTTCCTTATTAAATAGCAAACACCCTCAGAGTGTTGAAAAATATAATTTACAAACATTACACATAGCTTTTTAGGAAAACATAGCTGTATTCTGACATTTTTTTACTTTTGTTGTTGGGTTTCCTTTTTTTTAATTCACCAGGTTAGTAATGAATGAAAAAAACATTAATATAAGAGTTAGAAGATAATCCTTATATGACCTCTTTTTCTGGCATTTAGATAATAGGAGGTCTGGCAATTAAGTTCATGATCTTGTTGCAACCATGTTGCCAACTTTTTTTTATTTCAGAGGGATTATTCATTATAAATTTGTACCAACTGGACAAACATTAACCAAGTTTGCTATTTGGTAGTGCTGAAAAGGCTGCATGAAAAAATTAGGTGACCTGAACTTTTCGCCAACAGTCCATGGCTCTTGCATCACGACAATGCACCAGCTCACACAGCACTGTCTGTGAGGGAGTTTTTAGCCAGTAAACAAATCACTGTATTGGAACACCCTCCCTACTCACCTGATCTGGCCCCCAATGACTTCTTTGTTTACCTGAAGATAAAGGAAATACTGAAAGGAAGACATTTTGATGACATTCAGGACATCAAAGGTAATACGATGACAACTCTGATGGCTATTCCAGAAAAAGAGTTACAAAATTGCTTTGAAGGGTGGACTAGGCACTGGGGTTGGTGAATAGCTTCCCAAGGGGAGTATTTCGAAGGTGACTATAGTGATATTTAGCAATGAGGTATGTAGCACTTTTTTTAGGATGAGTTCGCAAACTTAATTGTCTGACCTCGTATTTTAATTCAACCGTAGTAAAACATTCCAGTTCTAGAATTATGGCAACACCAAACTTTGAAAATGATCAGCCTGTTTATACATTTAGCATGTGTTTTTTGAACATACAGGTGTGCGAAGCTCTGTGGAGATTAAAACAAAAAAACATAGTTCTGATTTCAGGAAATTTATTAAAGAATTGTAGGAACCTGGTAATCTAGGAGAGTTAAGATCTGTATTTAACCACAGCAGGCCAGCTGTGTAGTATTTTGAGGCACTTAAATTCCGATGAGAATTCAAGAGGAATAATAGATCACTTTTGACCAGGGTAATTGGGGAGTTGGACAGAAAAATGCTTCTTTACAGGCTGCTTATCTATATGAGGGATGATCAAACAATATGTTGAAGTTTAAATAA